AAAAAAAAAAAAAAAAAAAGGAAAGTATGATGTTAGCCCCAAAGACCATACTACATTGCCTTTGTGAAATGAGTCTGATTTCTATTTGCTCTTTCAGATTAACAACATGAAGACCAAGTTTAAAGAAACAATTGAGAAATGTGATAATCTGGAGCATAAACTAAATGATCTCCTAAAAGAAAAGCAGTCTGTGGAAAGAAAGTAAGTATAATCAGTCTATTCTGCTGTAACTGGCTCTATAAACAGACAGTTTCTTTCATTCCTGTGGAAACACCCTCATTTTCAAATCTATGTATCACCAGTTTTCAGGAGTCTCCCTAGGTATGGAACAAGCTTCTCATTCGTTTATTTTATTTATTTATTTAGGAGACAGAGTTTTGCTCTTGTTGCGCAGGCTGGAGTGCAGTGGCACACTCTCAGCTCTCCACAACCTCTGCCTCTTGTGTTCAAGCGATTCTTCTGCCTCAGCCTCCTGAGTAGCTGGGATTACAAGCATATACCACCACACCCAGCTAGTTTTGTATTTTTAGTAGAGACAGGGTTTCTCCATGTTGATCAGGCTAGTCTCAAACTCTCAACCTCAGGTAATCTGCCAGCCTTGGCCTCCCAAAGTGCTGGGATTACAGGTATGAGCCACCATGCCCAGGTTTTGTTTTTTGTTTTTGAGATGGAGTCTTGCTTTGTTGCCCAGGCTGGAGTGCAGTAGCACGATGGTTCACTGCAACCTCTGCCTCCTGGGTTCAAGCGAATCTCCTACCTCAGCCTCCCAAGTAGCTGGGATTACAGGCATATGCCACCACACCTGGCTAATTTTTTATATTTTTAGTAGAGAGGTGGTTTCACCATGTTGGCCAAAGATGGTCTTGATTACTTAACCTCCTGATCCACCCACCTTGGCCTCCCAAAGTGCTGGGATTACAGGCATGAGCCACAGAGCCGGATCGGCTTCTCATTTATTAAAAAATGTGGGGTTTCATACCAGATGGATGCCATGTGGAATGCAGTGCTCTCTTCTGATGTCTGTGCACTTGCAGTGTGTGGAGATATCTTCCATTTTTGCCTGTTTAAAGCAATTTTCTACCATCCAGAGCCTTCAGCTTCTTTGAACCATTGTGGCTGAGAACTGGCAGTTAGGAAGGAAACTGTATCTAAGCTGGAGATGTTCTATGCTCTGGCCTTGGGCAGGAATTAAAGGCAAAAGATGGCCGAGGCGGGCGGATCACGAGGTCAAGAGATCGAGACCGTCCTGGTCAACATGGTGAAACCCCGTCTCTACTAAAAATACAAAAAATTAGCTGGGCATGGTGGCGTGTGCCTGTAATCCCAGCGACTCAGGAGGCTGAGACAGGAGAATTGCCTGAACCCAGGAGACGGAGGTTGCAGTGAGCCAAGATCACGCCATTGCACTCCAGCCTGGGTAACAAGAGCGAAACTCCGTCTCAAAAAAAAAAAAAAAAGGCAAAAGATGTTGAATATGGAGCAAAAAACTCATGGACAGCATGGCGAGAACATTCTTTATTTACTGTTTTTTGGGAAGATAATTGTTACTGATTGAAATTACCAGCCAGGCGTAGTGGCTCACGCCTGTATTCCCAGCACTTTTGGGAGCCTGAGGCAGACAGATTGCTTGAGCCCAGGAATTCGAGACCAGACTCATGGTAAAACCCCATCTCCACTAAAAATACAAAAATTAGCTGGGCATGGTGTGCACACCTGTAGTGCCATCTACCTAGAAGCCTGAGGTAAGAGGATCACATGAGCTTGGGAGCCGAAGGCTGCAGTGAGTCAACATCACACCACTGCACTCCAGCCTGGGCAACAGTAAGACCCTGTCTCAACAAAAATAAATAATTTTTTTAAAGCTATTGTAAAATCAACACTATAAAATTAATAGAAGTAAAAATTAAAAATTATCCTGTGCTTTCAGCACCCTAACAAATTGAACAACTGCTAAAGAATACAAAGTTAAAACTGGA